GGTTTTTTCGCGCCCCTCTCCGTTTTTCCCCCAGTTGTTTTTGTCCTTGCAACCCTCAAAGCGCCTCCCCCTTCGGGGCCACGCCCCCCAGCTGCGACTTTTCCAGAGGTTTCGCTCGACCCTCATTCAACAACTAATCAACACCACACAACGACAGAAATTTTCATTGCCTGGATACCATGGGAAACGTAGTAAGCGACCTTTACTTAACAATTAAAAGGACGAATTAAAGCGCCTTCTTGCTACAATATAATTCACGCGTGCCCAAAAAGTCGATTTGCCCCAAACGCATTTCGTTTTCCCAGATATGTCGCATTTTTCGCAACGAAGCAAATCTGTTGGTACTTCATGGCAGTAAAACTTTCGTTTATGCAGTAATAGTTTCGATTCACGAACACGCAATTTTTACTGATTAGTCCCTTTAAGTACGAATTTTTCTATCTAACCATTGAACCCATTACAGTTCACCCGCCTCCACGCTTATACGCTGCATGGCGGATATTTGGAAGTATTGCAAGTTCTACCAACTCAGCGGACGCTTTTGGAGCATTCGAAATTAAATCAGCTACCAAACCGAGGTGCATCGCTTTGCAATTTCGTATCGCGCACCCTATGCATGGCCGATAGCATTGCCGTTGTTTCTTTTTGTCATCAACCTATCAATTTCAGACGCAAATCTGTACGATGGCTTGGAGAGCTTTACAGAAGATTCAACCAACAAAATCGGGGCCCTCCATCGCCTTCCGTTTCTGAGCAAGAAGTTCGAGATGACGACTCCCAACAACTTTTGTGACGTCTTCGGTGAAGCGAAGATCTTCTGTGGAGCCGGGGACTATACGCAGGTAAGCAAAATTGTTCGTGAAGTGGCGTTACCTACTTTGCTGCCCCTCTCAATTTTTCGCTTATTCGATCAAATCCGGCCTCGCCTTATCCCCCAACTCCTTTGATTACGCGATGTTATTCACATTGAGCCCCGTACCGAAGCTGCTAGCGTACTCAAATAATTTTGACTTAGTCAGCCAAAAATCCTGGTGCGGCTTGACTGAACCGTACGTAAATAAGTGAGTGAGAGAGAGAGAGAGAGAACCGACTGAAACTGAAGCATAACCCTTTTCGAAAAAACTACAGCGTAAGGGAAAGGGTCATACAACGTTCAAGCATTACCAGCTATTAAAACGGGTTTATTCGTTGAACTAATATTTCCAGATTCTCCTGAAGTTGCAAAGGAACGCGACACAAAATGACTTCCCTGACATCTTGGAAGTCTTCGTGATCCGACTTGGAGGTATTTTCGGCGACCAGACTTAAATCATTTTGACACTTTTCAGAAAGACTTATCGTCAACATAGCCGAGCGAGAGCAGGAACTAACCGACGAAGGAAAGTACGCGCAAATACTAGTTTTTAAAGTTTTACATCAGAGTGGGCATCAAACATACAATCATTGAATACATTCTTATAGAGATTTTCCAGAAAGCAGCGGTGTCTCGCCCGCAATTTGGAGCGTCTTGTGTCGAACGGACTAGGGCTCCGCAGAACCTCTGATTCGGTATTATCATTTGAAACCTTCCACTCCCCGTCACTACTTACCCACAACATCAGAGTATTCAACAGGCCGAAAAATTCTCGCGGGAAAAGCGTAATGCTCCATATCAACTTTTCGGCCTGCGAACAATTTCGGGCGGGCGGCTTGCCCGTGCTCGTCTCTACCGTACGTCCGTGCTAGATTAGCAAGGAAATCTCTGCACATTTCAACAGAGCCGATAAATAACAACGCTCGTCTTTTTCCAGGCGAGCAAGACGTTCGTGTACTTCGCGGACACGGTGAAAAGCGAAAAAGGGGGCCCAACCCTTCTACTTGCACATGAGGTCGACCACATTGGCTATGGCTGGACTGGAGCCGTCCCCGTTGATGTGAAAGGCGTCTGCATAGAAAATTTCAATCCGGAAAAGACCATTCTGAACCAACTGGATGCTCCGCATCTCCTCCGCTGGGTGGGTTGCCATTTTCCACCTAAGAATATCAATTGAGCAACCGATCACTATCTACAAACTTTGCAGGTCATACGCTACGGTGCCCTCGGTGTGCAACTGTGCGTCGGTCATCACACCAAAGAGGGTGTCCTCGAGGCGATCGAGCTCATTACGCTGGAAGCCATCCTTAAAGCAAATAGCCGCGTAAGCCTATTTCGCCATTCAATTTTTGCAGGCATTCTCTCTCTCTCACTCTCTCACTAACTCTCTCTCGCTCGCTGTCTCGGTCTCGGCCTCTGTCGCTGTATCTCTTTCTCACCCATGCTGCATGTTTCCTCCATCTAACCGAGTGCAACCGGCCGGGCTTCCTGGCCCGAATTCGTCATCTCCTTGTTGTAGTCAAGGTATAAGGTGCTGCAACAAAACTGACCTTGAGAGGAGCAGAGCCTCTTTGCATCTCCTTGGATCTCGCTTCCCCCGCCCCTCCAACCCCACCCTCACAGCACCTGATCTATGACATTGTTTCTGTTAGTCCTGTAACTTAAGAAAACAGTATTCGCATTCCAGCTGAGCTTCGGCTACACCGATGCAAGGGAAAAAGAAGCGCGTTTTTTCAACGAGCTGCTCGGGATATCGGCGCCCTTCTTCAAGGTCACCATTGCGAGAGGAGAGTGCACAGCCGAAAGACTGAATGTAAGCGCAAAAATATCTACATGTTGCGAAAGTAACTCAAGGTTCTTAAAGTAGCTTCCCCCCACATCCAGCTACTGTATCTCGGCTCCACAGAACGGGATGGGGAACTTTTTTTCTGTCGGCCCTGGTAGGGATAGTAATCAAATAGAAAGGGGTTTCACATTGTTTTCAGCAAAATTTAAGCCTACTTAAATCGGAAAAACTTTTTAAAAAGTTAGAAAAACTCTTGAAAAAGTCGAAAATTTGGTCATTTTTGGGCCGAAAAATTGATTTTTCGACCTTAAAATCCAATTTTTTAATTAAATGTTGTAAAGTTTTTATGCTTAAGAACCGCTATAAACAATTTAGAAACGCTTCCACCATTGATATAAAAATTGTATGCTTGGGCCAAAAAGTTCGGTTCCTCCCGCGAATCCTCGATTTTTATAGTCGTTGTCCGACGTGGCGAGCGGGATTGCACCGAATAAGGAACAGGAGCTCCGGGATCAGTTTGCGTCGATCTACCAGGCCGCCGGCGTTGAGGTCCCCGTCGCAGAGCTGGACCAGGCTGTCCATTTGCCCTATACTTGGCCCATCTCCCCCGAAATCACTCGCATTAGCAAGAATCATAATATCCAAAATAATCAGAAGCAGCCTCATTACTACTTCAATTAGTTATACTTACCAATATAGTCCTGAGCAGGGCAATGCTATTATTAAAAATTCATTTCTGCGATAAGTTTATAATTATCGCCGAATAACCCCATTTATTTATCAATATAATATTTAAGATATTTAACGTATAGCCTTAATAATTTAATTTGAAAATAGGGTAAGACTACACTCTGCAGGAAGGTCCCAAGGTATCTTTAAGACCACTAATGGCAATCGGGAGTTGCAAAACATCGCGTAAAAATTATAGATATATTGAGCGTTTAGCAAGTTTTGCCCGATTAATTTTGTTTTTGTTATAATTAATTTCAATCAGATTATTGTAACCGGCAATTAGCATTAGTCTGTTTTGAATGCTCTATCGGATGGCGTTGACAAAATGATCAAAAGCAATAGCAAAAATGGGGAAAATAGCTTCTCTACCCGTTTTCTTGGCATAATTTTGATAATATTTTTGCTGTCAATTTTCTCAAAATTTGTGGCGAAAATCCCGTAAGACAACGGCAATATCGAAAATCTTGGGACCTTCTAGATGGGAGGATGGTAAAATTAGTATCGCCGAAAATATGCATGTATTATTATACTATTATTATATACTATTATATTGTATTATACTATTATTATATCATTACTATTATTAAGGTATCATTACCATGATATACCGGTTGCCCCTAAAAAGATCTCGGCAAACCCCATACTGGTCGCCTCCTTGCGAGACCCCATCATTATCACCCCAAATTTACATTAATAACCGAAAATACAGTTAGTGGGCTTGATAGGCCACCATCTTTGATCTTTTTCTGATGCGCTTGCACCTGAGAAAATATTGTTATTTACCATGGCGTCTATATTGTTGCATTATGCACTATTACCACCGTACACCGGGTGCCCTATAAAGACCTCGCCAAACCTTATACTGGTCTCAACGTTGTGATATCCGATCACGGTCTCTCAGCAAGCCTCAGTTTTTTGTGATGCGAATTGTTGGAATCTATAACCTGTCATCCTGAGAATAATTTACCATCTGTGCCACTCCGCCTGCAAAAAACTTTCCCGATACTTGCACCATTGGAGCTGGATGATAAATATTCGCAAGGACGCAATCAAAACACAATCAACCTAGAAAGCGCAGGCAGGGACGTGTTCTGCTGAATAAAATCTTGCGCTACTAGCCCTTCCGTGTTTTTCTGAAGTCAGGCACCTCAATAAAATCCCCCCTCACACCGAAACCGATTAATGGCCAACTATATTAGAATGCGACGAGGCGCCGGCGAAGGGCGACAATTTCGCGTAAAAACAGCACTCGTAAAGATACGAAACGAGAGAATGAAATAAACAACAAAGTGGGGAGGCGCCGGTCAAACTTTTTAGCGCATGCGGAGCCGCGTGGAGTACCATTCGCCCTGCCACTTATGCCATACTCTCCAAAAGTAAACATGTTTATCAGACGTTTCAAGAAGCTGAAGATGATTTCTTCCACAAGCCCTGGTAGAGCACTAGGTTCTTATCGTCTCCCGCCTAGTTTTTGCATTGACAAGGGATAATCCTAGCTTATCGCCTGCTTTTCACACCTTACCCCAAGCGCAGTGTGCCATTTTTTCTGAGTTGATACTAGCTTTCACCCAGCGCTTGGTGTCTAGTTTTTACTTACTGGTTCTTACTTTTTTTAATTTTCTAGGGCAAATGCCTGTCACCGAAAGTGGTGCACCTGAAGGAAGTGGGCCCGAAGGAACCAACCGTGTTGAATATTTTCACAATATACACCGCGAGCACTATTGGGTAAGCCAGAAGCAAGTGTCGCTCCATGGCCCAGAATTGTCAGAAACGATCATCAGCAAGGAAGAGTTGGAAGGGTTGGCAGGTGCGAACCCAGTACAGGTAGCCGAAACCCATGAATTTAAGCAAACGATTTAACGAAGAATTTGTGGGCCGGCCTGGATAATTTCCAAATGGATACCGGCAACGAGATCGGTTCCATCCATCGCCTGGGTTATATTTTCGAGAAGCTCAAAACGGGAGCAGGTCTTGCAGCGATTTTCGATTCCGCCAAGATCTTCTGCGGAGCCGGCGATTTTGCTACTGTAACCTAAGATTATTTTGGAAATGATGGAATGTCCCTTTTAGCTTCTGGTGAAGCTTCAAGGCTCCTCAACTGATGACATGCAGGTCTTCGTCGTCCGCTTGGCAGATGGTAAAACGACTCGCTCGATTAAAAGGCTTTCATCATCGTGTGGGCATATTTTCAGGTCGGCTCCTCGTCAACCTGGAAGACAAATTTGACTACACAATGACCGGCTCCGAGGAAGATAAGAAGAAGTGGAGGTAAACTATTTTTATAAGACGGTTCGAAAATCGCTTCTGTCATTAACACATCAATTGATCCCTGAAAAGAGGAAATGCTCTCTCAAGGACGAAACTCGTATCCGTTAAACCTTTTTTAAGCGAGCGGCACTGCGCCGGCCGCAACTTTGAGAAGTACACGTCGATAGAATGGCATGCCGGAAGAAAAGCGCAACCTTCGAAAGCAAGCGCAAAGTGCGAAACTTCGGAGCAAAAGGTCTTGTAACTTCGAATCAATTTGCAGCAGTACGGCCCGCAGTTGTCGGTACCCAGCCAATGCAGGCCTTCATTCGTGAATAGGTGTTCCACGAATGGGATAAAATGGGCTGATTTCAGTGTGAAAGCGCGGCCATGAAATATCTGTATTACGTTGACGTGGTGCATGCGAAGCCGGGTGGGACACCGATTCTACTCTCCAGTCAGGTCGACCACATTGGGCGCGACGGACGCAGCCCAATTGAAGTGAAGTCGACCGGCGATTCCAAGTTGGAAGGCAAAAAGCTTCTCAGATGGGTACGTTACAGCATATGTGTTTGTTTACGCTGCCGTATTTAGCAGACGGCCGCGAGTAGGCGTGCAGCCATCTCGGGGCCGTTACGCAGGCATTAGCTGCGTAACGGCCCCTCCTTCCGACTATTACCTATCAGATTTTGCAAATTACGCTATTTTCAACATTAAAATTGAGTTTTTTGTTGAAAATCCGGCAGCCTTCTTTGTTAGGAAAAAATTAGCATACGCCGGAAGTGGCGGCAGCCTATATACAATGCGAGAAAGTGAAGTTTTTCATTTTTCACATCGGAATTCGAGAGACGTATGCATATGAAAAATATGACGAGGTTAGACGGGGCCAGGGTTGAAAAGTCGCGAAGCGGCAGCGTACAGTTATACATATGTACATATTTACAGCCAATCCGCTACGGGGCGACGGGGGCGCAGCTTTGCGTGGGATGTCACGATGGGAAAGGCATCCTGAACGAGGTCAAGCTCATTGACCCAATGGAGATGATCCCGCGAGAGGTCGAGGCGTTACTGATATATGCGTAATTCAAGGGGGCATCGGATAGCCGGATAGCAGTAAAGTATTTTTCTAGGTTCCACCACCACCAAAAGAAAAAGATAAAAAGGTGAGTGTGTTTTTTCGCCGAAGGGTATGGCAATTTAGGGGTGGGAAAAAGTGACCGACAAGAAAACGATGCGCATGGCAATGAATAAAACGCAAGTAAGTGATATTTTGTGTGGCGGAGGTATTCCGTCTGCGGGAATTGAATTGAGGGAATGTGAATCACAACACTTTACCCCGCTGATTTGCTATCAATGTCAAAATTCCGAATGTCGGGATTTCAATATGTCGAAATTTTTTTGTCTGGTATTGCGTTTTTCTCGTGAGATTTACTTATGTAAATTTCGACACGCTGAGAAATTATGACGTTCGGCATTTCGAGGGTAGATGTAATATGAAGGCAACGGACCGAGCGGAATTGCTATCATAATGTAGAAAATCATAATGTCGGGATTCATAATGTCGAAAATCATAATCACGAAATTCAGAATGTCGAAATTTTTTTGCATAGGATTCGGGGGTTCAGAATATTAGCCTATGTAAATTTCGACATCTGAATTTCCACATTATGATTTTCGAAATTTTGAAAATAAGCCGTTCGAGCGCATCCCCAAGCAAAAGAATTGAAGGGAGCAGGACAACAACACTCCCGTTACAGACTGCAAATAACTTCCGCGGAGCGCGCGAGAAGGGCGATGAATTCTTCCAAAAGCTTCTTCGCAAAACTTCTTCTGCTGAGCCGTTCTGGCAGATCACCATCAAGAATTCTAGCACGCCACTCACGGAAAAGCGTCTAGCGGTGAGTTTTCGGGTTCATGCTGGTAAATTTGATTATTTTGATACAGAATTTTTACAGATCAAAATTTTTAGAGCATCTCGGACGTTGCACGCGGCATCCTTCCCAAAGACGAACACGCGGATGGGAGGGAAAAGCTTAAGCATCTGTTCAATGAGGTTCTTCAACACAACAACGCTCCCGCGGCCCCGACAGGCGCGCCCTCAATGTCGAAAACTATGAAGCCGATCACTTCGTCCATTCAATAAAACACTCCTGCTACCTGAATTTCCACCTGACTCATTTTTGAAGGGTCACCTGAATAAACCTTTTGTTATTTATTCTTGGGAGCGAATGGTAAATGCACCTACATTTTTTACGGTTGATTAGGAAAGCGCGATTTTTTTGCCGCCGGCAAATTCGGGTTCTTTCTTCACGCCTCAGGGGCCGTTGAGTGATAAAGATTGGAATTCTACGTCGTTCTTCTTCTTCTTCTCTCTCTCTCTCTCTCTCTCTCTCTCTCTCTCTCTCTCTCTGTCTCGCTCTCTCTCTCTGTCTCTCTCGCTTCTGATATCGATAAGCCCTTATCGCACAAAACCCAGGGCCCGAATCGGGTAGAAAACGTTGAAATATGGCATTCGCCTCCCATTGTCTTCTTCGTTCCTGATTTCGTCTTTTTCTTGGCTTGGGCTAGACCGAACGCTCTGGTCTTGTTGGACTCACAATTACTTTTTTCCTAAAACCCCCAATAATGAGTTTCAACCCTTGGGCCAACTAGCAGAGGTCCTTTTGGAGGTCAACGGTTGGTAGGTTAGCAGAGAATATTCTGGATTTACGGACAGGCTAGCAGAGATTCTTTAAGAAAGGGCAGGCTAGCAGAGATTCTTTGGGAAAGGGCAGGCTAGCAGAAAACATTTCGGAACGCAGAATTTCGTCTTTTTTAATGTAGCTCCGACCATAATCCTAATACCCGAATTTCGCGCCACTACCGCAGCTCCGTCAAAAAATGTCTTATCAACCAATTCTGACTCCCCGCTCCTCTCAAATCGGGGGCCTGACCCGCGGGCCCTTATTGTGTTTGTTCTACCCTAATAGGAGCGGGCTGTTATCAGTATTCCCCCGTACACAGCACCCCTAATCCTTATCAAAAACTGATCGACGAGGTCGGAAGACCCCCTTCACTTCGATTCGGGCCATTCTCATAATTTGCCTCAAAGTTTCCCAAATTTTCTCTGCTAGCCTATCCTAAGAAGTTTTTTTTAGAAAAACAGAATCATGACCGACTCAGCCGCCGGAACCTCCGCCATCCGCATGAACTACACCACCGACTGCGAGGCGGCCATCAACAAGCAGGTAGAAACTGGTTCTCTCTCGCTTCTTTTCTCACTCTCTCTCGCTCTCTCTCTTTCTCTCTATCTCTCTCCCTCGCTCTCTCTCTTGCTCTCTCTGGCTCTCTATCTCTCTCTCTCTCTCTCTCTCTCGTGCTGTCTCTCTCCCTCTCGTTTTCATAGCTTTTGATCTCGATCTCGCGCTCTATAGCTCCCTATCTTGCTCTCTCTCTCTCTCTCTCTCTCTCTCTCTCGCTTTCTCGCTCTCTCACTCGCTTTCTCTCTCCCTCACTCTCACACTTCCAGATCAACATCGAGCTCTACGCCTCGTACACCTACATGTCGATGGCCTTCTACTTTGACCGTGACGACGTCGCCCTCCCCAATGTCGCCAACTGGATGCGAAAGCAGAGCGATGAGGAGCGCGAGCACGCCATGAAGCTCATGAAGATGCAGGTTAGCCCTAGATTCCGCTTCAATCGCCCTTTAAAATATACCCCACCTGCCGTATCCCTTTTTCAGAATCAGCGTGGTGGCCGCATTGCCCTCCAGGCCGTGCAGAAGCCCGAGAAGGACAGCTGGGGATCAGCGCTTGAGGCTTTCCAGGTGTGGCTTAGGCTTAGCTTGAGCTGAGGCTTTAGCTTGGATCTGGCTTGGCTTCAAAATTCCAAAATTTCCAGGCCGCGCTCGCCCTCGAGAAGTTCAACAACAAGAGCCTGCTCGAACTCCACGGCGTCTGCGCCAACTCCAACGACGCCCAGCTGACGTCGTTTGTTGAGGACACTTTCTTGCATGAGCAGGTACGGCTTAGGTTGAAGCTTAGGCTTAGGCTTAGGCTTGGCTTAGGCTTAGGCTTAGGCTTAGGCTTAGGCTTAGGCTTAGGCTTAGGCTTAGGTTTAGTCCTGGGCTTGGCTTAGGCTTAGGCTTAGGCTTAGGCTTAGGCTTGGCTTAGGCTTAGACTTAGGCTTAGATTTAGTCCTGGGCTTGGCTTAAGCTTAGGCTTAGGCTTAGGCTTAGGCTTAGGCTTAGGCTTAGGCTTAGGCCTAGGCTTGGCTTAGGCTTAGACTTAGGCTTAGGTTTAGTCCTGGGCTTGGCTTAGGCTTAGGCTTAGGCTTGGGCCTAGTCTCGGGCTTTGGCTTAGGCTTAGGCTTGGGCTTAAGCTAGAGTAAAGGTTTTTTCACTAGTCTTCCTGTCACCGTCCCTTTAAAACCCCACAACCCCAAATTCTACAAGGTGGTCTTGCAGGTGGAGTCGATCGAGGAGATTGGCCGCATGGTGGCCAACCTGAAGCGCGCCGGGCCCGGTGTCGGCGAGTACCTCTTCGACCGCCATCACTTCTCGTCCTAAATGGGGCCCAGCTACCGTATCCCGCTACAAAACAACAAATATTACCTAATAATTATTAACAAATAATAATTTGATCGTTGTTTACAGTAATAAATGTTTTTTGGATTCAAGAATAAAATTCACAACAGATTTCTCACGCTCGCTCTCTCTCTCCTCTCTTTCTCGCTCTCTCTTCTCACTCTCTCTCTCTCACTCTCTCTTTCATCCTTTTTTCAATATGAAGCTTTAAAAGATTTATTTTTAATTCCATGAATCGGCAAGAAAACGGCAAAAATCGCGGTATGTACAAACGGAATGTCGCGTAGTCGATCAATAAATTCGAGTTTTTGGGTGAGATTTATGAGATCTGGATACGGTTGCAGAGGGGAGCAAGAGATCGCACTCCAGCGCCGGCAATGCAATTGCACAACGACTGCACGCCGGCCGTGTTGAAGCCGGAGCCCATGGCGCACTGCTTGGTCTGCTGGACGAGCACGTTGTCCGGGGGGAGGGCGAGACCGCATCTGGAAATCGGATGGGTTGCTGTGTTTCGCACATTGCTCTCTCGCCTGCTCTGTTTCTCTCTCTCTCTCTCTCTCCTCTCTCTCTCTCTCTCTATCTCTCCCCGGCTCTCTCTCTCTCCCTCTCTCTCTTTCTCTCTCTCTCTGTCCCTCTCTCCCATTTTCTTGCTCTATCGCTTTGAGAATCCGCGGCTTGGCCTAAGCTTAGGCTTAAGCTTAGGCTTAGGCTTGACTTAGGCTTAGACTTCACTTAGGCTTAGGCTTAGGCTTAGGCTTAGGCTTAGGCTTAGCTTAGGCTTAGCTTAGGCTTAGCTTAGGCTTAGCTTAGGCTTAGCTTAGGCTTAGGCTTAGGCTTAGCTTAAGCTTATAGGCTTAGCTTAGGCTTAGCTTAGGCTTAGCTTAGGCTTAGCCTAGGCTTAGCTTAGGCTTAGCTCAGGCTTAGCTTATGCTTCGCCTAGGCTTAGCTTAGGCTTTGCTTAGGCTTAGCTTAGGCTTAGCTTAGGCTTAGCTTATGCTTAGCTTAGGCTTAGCTTAGGCTTAGCTTAGGCTTAGCTTAGGCTTAGCTTAGGCTTAGCTTAGGCTTAGGCATCGCCGTTCTTCCAAGTCTCTTAAAAAATTTTCAACACGTCTTTCCGCTTCTCAGCTAGCCCAGAACGATTTCCCAAGCCAAAAATTGGGCTCACGTATTTTCCCCGGAGCGGCGTAGGCCCGATCACGTACCACACCCGTCCGCCAGGGGCCTATCAACGAAATTCGGGGGGGGGGGGCGGCTACCGCCCGAAGATTGGCTTATCAACCCGTGGACTTTTTGTTTGTTCCCCAACCAAATAGCGAGTGGCAGACAGGGGGGAATGGTTTGGGGAAGATCGGGGACGCTTTGGGAAAGAAGGAAATGGTCTCTGTTGGCTTGCCTTAGACCTTAAAGAATCTCTGCTAGCCTGCCCTTTCCTAAAGAATCTCTGCTATCTAGCCACTCACCCGAGCTTCTTGAAGCACCGCCCGGATCCCTTGTTCATACACTTCATCACGCAGCTGGCGAACTTCTTGCCGACGGCCATGAAAGAGGCTGCTTCAGCTTGGAGACCTGAAAAAGGAGGTTAGAGATTGGGAGAGAGTGAAAGAGAGAGAGACAGGGAGATACCCACCGCTCCTCCTGAGAATGTTGTTGACCTCGTTGAAGGCGGCGAGCTTGAGCGTCTCCGGGTACCTCTTGGGGACCTGGGCCCCGGGGCGCGCGGCGCAGGAGTTGGCCAATTGCCGCTCTTGGCAGTTGACCACCGAGTTGATGGTGGATTGACGTTGCATGATGCACGATCGAATCGAGGAGTAGGGGGCGCCCATGCCGGAGACGTGCTTCTGAAACCGGACGGTTTAAAGGGCCGTTGAAGTCAGTCATTTGAGGCACTTCCTCAAGGAATTCTGCTAGCTCACCTGGCACGAGTCCGCGCACGACATCACCTGGTCCTGGGCCCCCGATTTGCAGGGCTCTACCTGAAGATTCGGTTTAAAGGGATCGTGACAGCTCGCATACCTGTTGACAGGTGCATTGGGGCTGCATCTGGGCCACAGCCAACGCCAGCAATGAGGCGGCCAATGCGAATCGAAGCATCTGCAAGGAGTACGGTAGGATACGCGGGAATAACGTATGATTACGGTAGAATCGAGAACGCCATTTGGAAAGAAAGCATCGTAAAATGGAAAAATGGTGTCGGTAACACATCTCGGCTACCGTACTGTGACTCCGAAAACGTACGCTAGGTTACGGTCAGGGGCATATTTAAGAACGTTCATAGTAACGTCGCGAAAAATGGTTTTCCGGAATTTTTTGTCGCAGATACCGTACCCCCAAGCCTCGAGAATTCCGCTACGCTACGCTACGTCAGAATGGCAAACGTCGCTAGAAGCCTGGCGGAACAACGGGTTTCGGACTAATTTACCAACTTTCGTAAACCGCAAACTATCGTAAACTCCGGAAGGTACGCTACGCTACGATATGGTAAACGTCACGAGTATCGTACCGAAAACAGGAACTTTAGGTTATTTTGCACAGCAGCTACGGTACCCAAAACTCCGGAAAGTACGTTAGAATACGCAAAGGAAAGAATAAGGTACCTCAATAGAGCCACAAAAAAAAGGAATTTTCAAATCCAGGAAGTAGAAAAGACCTGGCGCTGTTTTCCGACCTAGCTACCGTACCCTAAGCTGCGGATTACGGTGGAAATTCGCGAAAAGGGTCCCGCCGCGCGCAAAACACAATCGAATACCCGAGGATCGGTGGCCTCCGCGGCGGATAGCCATTAAATAGGGGCCGGGGAATTTTGTGAAAAGGCGCTAAGGCGAGAGAGAGAGAGAGAGACAGAGAGCATGAGGGAGAGAAAAAGAGAGTAAAAAACAGGGCCGCGGAAATGATCCGAATCTCTCCCCGCCCAATTTCTCACCAACAAATAAACAAGTTCTCGGGGTGGGAATTGAGATTTTTTGGGTGTTTTTCTTTGAATTCTCTGTGTCTCTCTGTCTCTCGCTTTCTCTCTTCCTCTCTGTCTCGCTCCCCCTCTCTTTCTCTATCCCGGCTCATCACAAAACAGTCGAAAATAAGAAAACCTCAGGGTCGTCTCGCGCGGGCGCGCTGAAAATCGAGGGCGGGGTGACGGGATTATTTTGAGGACACACAAAAACATACACCAACACAAACAGACAGAGTGAGCGAGAGAGAGAGAGAGGGAGAGAGATGCGATTGATAGTTATTCAATTGAGAAGAGGTTCGCACTTTACGCGATGATCAAATTGGTATGTTATTCGACTGGGGCCACGATTTAGTGCGCCCAGCCAAGGACGTTCGGAACGAGCAGTAGACTTTGCGACGCTGGAAAATGTCTCGAAACTGGCTTTGAGAACTAGACTACCAGAGATTCTTTAGGAAACGCCAGGCTAGCCAGATTCTTTAGGAAAGGGCGGGCTAGCAGAGATCCTTGAGGAAAGGGCAGGCTAGCAGAGATCCTTGAGGAAAGGGCAGGCTAGCAGAGATTCTTTAGGAAACGGCAGGCTAGCAGAGATTCTTGAGGAAAGGGCAGGCTAGCAGAGATCCTTGAGGAAAGGACAGGCTAGCAGAAATTCTGTAGGAAAGGGCAGGCTAGCAGATATTCTGTAGGAAAGGGCAGGCTAGCAGATATTCTTGAGGAAAGGGCAGGCTAGCAGAGACCATTTCGAAATTAAAAAATTTAATTGGAGACCATGACAGCTACAAGCCACGAAAAGTTGTGAAAACGATAGCACATGAAATTTGAGATCTCCTCCCCTGGTTGGTGGCCCTTTTAAGGGGATAGATTTGGGGGCCGAATCAACAAAAACGGATAAAGCCCGCCAACATTGTGATTTCGGGATAGCTGGATAGGATAATGGATGTTTATCTCTCCCTCTCCCTCTCTCTCTGTCTGTCTCTCTCTCTCTATATCCGCTCAAAACCTCCATATCCGCTCAAAAATCCCGGCGAATCTCTCATCCCGCGCCAATTTGGGGAAAAGCCCGGGTGACGCGCGCAGATTTGGAGAAGTTGATCACTTTTTGTGCGTCGCTGACTCTCTTGGATAAACTGTCAATAGTAACGCCGCGGAGTTTCGATTTTCCGGGACAAAGCGGCGATTTGGGGAGATTTGTCGAGGAAGCGTGGCGTCTGGAAGCTCAGGTTGCGAGTAGCTGATCGAAAAATTACGCTTAGGCTTAGGCTTGGGCTTAGGCTCAAGCGTAGCGTAAGTTTGCTTAGGCTTAGGCCTGGAATTTGTCTGAGGCTTAGGCTTAGGCTTAGGCTTAGGCTTAGGCTTAGGCTTAGCTTAGGCTTAGGCTCAGGCTTAGGCTTAGGCTTAGGCTTAGGCTTAGGTTTCGGCGTAGGTTTAGGCTTAGGCTTGGCTCAAGCTTGGCTTAAGCTTAAGCAGTGGCATATAACGTGGCTTATAGGCTTAAGTTTAAACGTAGGCTTGGCTCTAGTTTAGGCTTAGGCTTGACTTAGGCTTGGCTTAGGCTTAGGCTAAGCCAAGCCTAAGGACAGCCGAGGTTTGGGCCTGGGCTTGGGCCTGGGCTTAGGCTTGGCTTAGGCTTGGCTTAGGCTTGGCTTAGGCTTGGCTTAGGCTTGGCTTAGGCTTGGCTTAGGCTTGGCTTAGGCTTGGCTTAGGCTTGGCTTAGGCTTGGCTTAGGCTTGGCTTAGGCTTGGCTTAGGCTTAGGCTTGGCGCAGGCTTGGGCCTGGGCTTGGCTTAGGCCTAGCTTTCGAGACTCTTTCCGTTCAACAAAAACAGGGGGAATCCCTCTATTAAAAATGGACTTTTCTGCAGTCGATTTTCCGGGCCATCCAAAAGCTTTTAGCTTTCAGAGGAGGCGTTGGCCCGAAAAACATTTCACCCGCCCGCGAGGGTTTTTCAGACATCCCCAATGCCCCTGCCGTTTTCTGACCGCTTGTTTGGCCGGAAGCGTTCCGGGAGGCGCCTATTTGCAGTTAGGAATTGCCGGAATTAGCCTCGTCTTTATTTCTGGCATTTTCAACGATTAAAAACTATTTCAGGTTTTCCTGACTTGTCATGGCTAAATCGATCTTTATTCGCTTTATACCTGGCAATAAACGCCTATTCTACACAAAATTCAATTTTCCCTGTTGATAGGAGCAAAAGGAACGTGTCCCACAGCTTCTCCCGCAAAAAGCAAAAAGTGCTGTCATCCGCAGGATTCGAACCTGCGCCCTCCGAAGAGGACTGCGACCTGAACGCAGCGCCTTAGACCACTCGGCCAGAATGACATGGGGAGTGGGGCCGCAGAGGGGGCTATCCCCCAGCCGGGGCACGCCCCAGTTTCGGGCTGGTCAAAGGCAAGTGTTATGACTTGTAATTGGGAGCGATTCGTAGTGGAGAAGCCGGGTTCAAATGAGGTTTTTAGCTAAAAGTATCTGCCTTTTTGCCGCAATTATCTCTCTCGCTCTCTCTCTATCTCTCTCTCTCTCTCTCTCTCTCTCTCTCTCTTCCCTCGTGATCTCTCGTCCTGTTTTTTTCAAGTCCTAGGCAAGCTAGCGGAGATTTTTCAGGAATTAGGGCCGTAGACACTCAAGTCTTCCATTAATGCGTATCCTCCAGGATTTCCCGCCCAAAATCGATGGCTCCATCCGGGTTGTTGGTGGTTTGTCTGCATGTCCATTCCTTGCTATTGGATAGAGCGGGACCGAGGGCACGTGGCGGTGTATATCAACCGCTTCTCCGTCTCTCTCCTCCTCTCTCTCTCCCCCTCTCTCTCTCTCTCTCTCCTTCTCTCTCGCTCTCGCTCTCCAGAGCCTCGCCATTCACACCCAACAACAAACCCTAAATCGGTTGCTTTTTAGGCGCGTTTCGGCCAGATTTACAACCTAATTTATGTCAACCAGTATACAAAAATCCTATGACTTTTCTTCCCATTTCTGTAACAAATTGGCATCTACATTTTAAGCCAAGACAGCCAAGCCAAGCCTAAGCCTAAGCCTAATCTAAGCCCAAGCCTAAACCTAAGCCCTCGCTAAAACGGAACTGCGGGACCTTCCCGCACCCCGCAAAATTGACAAGAAATCTGTGGTGTGCGTCTGTCGACATTTTTGACGTATTTCGGCCAGATGGCGAGAGCAGAGAGGATTAGAGAATCAGAGCAGCTAGTGGCCCATGGCCCCCAGGCCATGTGGCTGTAAACTGGAGGGGGGCCACGACCGGATTTTTGGGTCAGTGGTGGCGGGATGGCGCCGGGAATGATATCACTTTTGCACTTTTTCTAGGTTTCCCACATGATCTCTGCTAGCCTGCCCTTTCCTAAAGAATCTCTGCTGGCCTGCCCTTTCCTAAAGAATCTCTGCTAGCCTGCCCTTTCCTAAAGAATCTCTGCTAGCCTGCCCTTTCCTAAAAAACCTCTGCTAGTCAGCCCTTTCCTCACGATCTCTGCTAGCCTGCTTTTCCTAAAGAATCTCTGCTAGCTTTGCCTTGCCAACCCCTTTAAAAATGCATCAAACCCGTTGTTTACGTGCAAAGTATGCTGGCGGAACATCGCCTTCTTCTGCCCCTCCGTTTCCCACAAGTAGCGTCAATATTCTGGAGCGCCCCGGCTTCTTCGTTGTCCTCCCCCCCCTCTCTCTCTCTCTCTCGCTCTCTTTGCCTTTTCCATTTTTATTGCTGAAGCTCCCCGTCTAGAAGAAGGGGCTCTACCTCATTTTCGGGAAGGGTCCAGATGGGTTCCTCAATTTTTAGCGTTTCTAGGCTTTTAAAGCGGGCAGGCTAGCAGAGATTCCTTGTGGAAACATTCACATCCAAGCCCCTTGAATCCACACGATCTTCAGAAAAGCTTCCAAATTTCTACAGCCAATCTAGTCGACAAACAAACAGAGGCCGGGCCGCCTAGCAGCCCAGACGAACACATGACCCCAGCCGCCGAAAAATGAGTTACTTTTTGGACCTTGTCACTCCGGGCGTACCTTCATCTTTCCGCAAATGATCTCTGCTAGCCTGCTCTCTGCTAAAGAATCTCTGCTAGCCTGCCCTTTCCTAAAGAATCTCTGCTAGCCAGCCCTTTCCTAAAGAATCTCTGCTAGCCTGCCCTTTCCTAAAGAATCTCTGCTAGCCTGCCCTTTCCTAAAGAATCTCTGCTAGCCTGCCCTTTCCTAAAGAATATCTGCTAGCCTGCCCTTTCCTAAAGAATCTCTGCTAGCCTGCCCTTTCCTAAAGAATCTCTGCTAGCCTGCCCTTTCCTAAAGAATCTCTGCTAGCCTGCCCTTTCCTAAAGAATCTCTGCTAGCCTACATTTCAAATCTGCAATTATCTCTGCCAGCATACCCCTAAATTCCTAAATTATCTCTGCTAGCCTGCCCTCTGGTATAAATAAATACGCCTGCTGCCCTTTCCGCCCGATATCAATCGTTCGCCGCCCTCGGCCATGCCTATCAAGTGCATAGCTCTCTCTCTCTCTCTCTCGCTCTCTCTCTCTCTCGCATCACTGATTGATTGTGTTTTTGTCCTTCTCCTCAATTCTCCAACACTCTGTGATCACCTATCAACCCCCGGCCGTTGCCTTTCCACACCTGTCAATAGTATCCCCACGTAAAAATACATCTTTTGAACCTCGTAACCGACGAATTTTTGAATGTAAACAGTTCTTAACTGATTTTATAACATTTTTCAGCCAGTATATGGCTTTAGGAACTTCAGAATCGGCTAACAATCTGTTGGTCGAGCCTAAAAAACACGTTAATAGGTGTAATTTGCGTTCCAGCCAAAATGTCGACATTCACAACCCCGAAAGCTTCTTGATGCCGTTTTGATCTGCGCTTCTTTTTCAAACAGCTGTGTTGCCTGTCGGGATTTTGGTCTGTCCGAATTTTGCTTGTCGGGATTTTGATTTTGATACTGTCGGTATTTCATTGTCGGAATTTTCGTTCATCGGCATTTTGGCTGTCGGGATTTCGGCCTTGTCGGCATTTCGGCTTTCGGGATTTTAGCCTGTCGGGCTTCTGGTTGCATGATTTTGGCTTTTAGCCTGTCGGGATTTTAATTTATCGGCATTTTGGTTGTCGGTATTCTGGCTGTCGGGATTTTCGATGTCGGGATTTTTGCCTTTCGTGATTGCGGCTTGTCGGCATTTTCGCTAGCGGCATTTTCACCTCTCCCTTGCAATTCATTCGACATACCATTAATTCGTCTACATTCCCCCTGGAAAACAGCCGAAACTCTGCGGCTTACAACTGATAAGCCGCCCCTGCCCCACCGGGGAATTCGACGGCAGAAAAATTGCTATTTTTATGGGGCTAGCCGGAGCGTGTTTTTTTGGCCGCATCGGCTTTTGTTTGGGGAATCGGATGATTTTTGTGTGGATTTACCTTTAGAAATTATAGCTCTGTTTATTACTCTCTCTCCCTTTCTCTCTCTTTCTCTCTCTCTCTCTCTCTCTCTCTCTCTCTCTCTTTCTCTCTCTCTCGGTCTCTAATTCTGAACAGCTATTTTCAGTTTCTAAAATGTTTGGCATGCTGGAATTGGCCTGTGCCGTGAGGCGACGGCTGGACGGTGCCACAAAATCGGAAAGAAGTGTAAGTTCTGGTTTCGGATTTTTCTGTAATTGTCTGTATTTTTTTATACGGACCAGCCATAATTCGACATTTAGGACAGCCATGGTGATGTCGGGAAATTTATTTCAAAGGATTTGCGGCGACAGGCTGGCAAAGCCCGGCTGGCTGAGAATGAGTTCATTTCGGTGAGTTTTAAATGGGATTGTAAGCTTGAGAAATGCCTGATAAATAGCAGTTTTAGTCCAGATTATTTAGGAAAGAGCAGAGTAGCAGAGAATCTTTAGGAAGGGGCAGGCTAGCAGAAATTCTTTAGGAAAGGGCAGGCTAGCAGAGATTCGATAGGAAAGGGCAGGCTAGCAGAGATTCTTGAAGAAAGGACAGGCTAGCAGAGATTCTTCAGGAAAGGGCATGCTAACAGAGATTATTTAGGAATGGGAAGACTAGCAGAGATTCTTTAGGAAATGGCAACTAGCAGAGAATCTTTAAGAAAGGGCAAGCTAGCAGGGTTATTTTGGGAAAGTCTCTAACCTAAAAATTAACCCATCTACCGTACTCCCCAGGACAAGACGGGCTCTTGGACCGGGGGCCATTTCCGGGTGGTAAGTTCGCCTCACGATTCCGCTCGGTTCCTATCGTCATTTGGTGTATGGTGTAGTGGGTAGTGTAGTGTAGTTTTTTTGGGAAATTTTGGGCACTTAATCCGGCCTAAAGGACTACGGTATTGAGGCTAATTTGAGTTTTTAGCTGGAATCGGTGATGGCGGAATTTCGGCTGTCGAACACGACGCTGAAGCGCATGATGCATCACATGTCAGATGATATGGATCGGGGGTAAGTTAATTTACACTTTAAAATATATTAATAGCTAAAAATTACAAAAATTGGGTTTTAAAGGACCGTTGAAGACAAAAATACAGAAAATTCAAAAGATTTCTAGCTTTTTGGTCTTATCTTTTTTGTTTTCTTATATTTCTACCTAAGATTTTGAGAGAATATTAAATTTACAAATTTTTAGTACAATTTGAACAGCAATTCAATATAGGTCGGAAAAGTTACAGCTATTTTCAGGACAAAATCCGGTTTCTAGGTGCCTTTAAAACCCACTTTTTTGTATAATTTTGGGTTTAAGCGATTTTAGGACCATTTTTAAACATTTTGAAAGTTTTATCAAGCCAATTTTGAAAGAAAAATCAGCATCTTAAATCTTAAAACCCATTGAAGCCAGGAAACCATAACTTTTTTCAGGCTACAAGGCGGACTGTCCAAAAGCACAATCGGAATGCTGTCCAGTTTCGTGCCAGAGCTGCCAGATGGATCAGGTATGTGGCTTGGCTTAGGTTTAGGCTCGGGCTTGGGCTTAGTTTGGGCTTAGCTCAGGCTTAGGTTAGGCTTAGGCTTATGCTTAGGCTTAGGCTTATGCTTAGGCTTAGGCTTAGGCTTAGTCTTAGGCTTAGGCTTAGGCTTATGCTTAGGCTTAGGCTTAGGCTTAGGCTTATGCTTAGGCTTAGGCTTATGCTTAGGCTTAGGCTTAGGCTTAGGCTTCATCTACCATAATTTTCAGAACGCGGAAAATTCGTGGCGATGGACCTGGGCGGGACGAATCTGCGGGTGATGATCATGGAAATCGAGCCGGGCGAGGAGATGCGCTGCAAACAGTTCAACACCAGGATGCCGAACTGGGCACAGCATGGCACTGGAGTTCAGGTGGGGAGGCTAGCAGTGATTCTTTAGGAAAGGGCAGGCTAGGAGAGATTCTTTAGGAAAGGGCAGGCTAGCAGAGATTCTTTAGGAAAGGGCAGGCTAGCAGAGATTCTTTAGGAAAGGGCAGGCTAGCAGAGATTCTTTAGGAAACGGCAGGCTAGCAGAGATTCTTTAGGAAAGGACAGGTTAGCAGAGACCATTGAGGAATCGAAACCTGGTTTTCCAGCTGTTCGACTTCATCGCCAAGGCCCTGGCCGATTTCCTGATCGAAAAAGGCGTTGACCAGGACGGTCTCCCCGTCGGCTTCACCTTCTCCTACCCCTGCAATCAGACGTCACTACGTTCCGCTACGTTATTACGGTAGGTGTAGCTTTAAAGGGACTGTGACACCTGCTTCAGATGGACCAAAGGCGTGACGGCCAAAGGTTGCGTGGGCCGAGATGTTGTCCAAATGCTCGAGGAAGCCATCCAGAGAGATGGGGTACGTTTTAAAGGGACAGCGACAGCTGGAAAGCAGATTTTCAAGACGCAAGTGGAACTAAAGGGACAGTGTCGGAAAACTCTCAATTTTCAGCGCATCAACGTCGAAATCATGGCGCTGATCAACGACACGGTGGGCACTATGGTGGCCGCAGCCTATCAGAATAACGGGCAATGCGATATTGGGGTTATTATTGGTGGGTTTTAGGCCTAGGATTAGGCTTGGCTTGGCTTAAGCTTGGCTCAGGCTTATTAGGCTTAGGCTCGGCTCCGGCTCATGATTAGGCTCAGGCTTAGGCCTGGAATTAGCTTAAGTTTAGGCTTTGCTTTGGTTTTGGCTTAGGCTTAGGCTTAGGCTTAGGCTTAAGCTTAGGCTTAGGCTAGGCTTAGGCTTAGGCTTAGGCTTAGGCTTAGGCTTAGGCTGAGACTTAGGCTTAGGCTTAGGCTTCTATAGGCTTAGGCTTAGGTTTGGGTCGGGTTTAGGCTTTGCTTAGGCTTTGGCTTAGACTTGTACGTAGGCTTAGGCTTAGGACCGGAGGTTTAGACTTCGACTTAAGCTTAGGCTCGCTTATATAGGCTTAGGCTTAGGCTTAAACTCCAGATCAAAACCCCCATATTTCTAGGCACCGGCACCAACGCCTCCTACATGGAAAACACCAAAAACATCCACTACGGCCTGCAGAACGCCACCGAGAAGTACAACTACAATCAGGTCAGTTGCAAGCTATCTTTCGAGACTTAAAAGGACCGGGCGCCAAAAATTTGGGTTTCCAGATGTCTTTAGCACCCTTTAATGCTCAAAAAAACCCTGAAAAATTGTAGATGATCATCGACACGGAGTGGGGCGGCTTTGGCGACAGGGGAGAAGCCGACTACATCTTCACCGAATACGACAAGATTGTCGACAAAAGATCTGATCATCCGGGTGTTAATTCGTAAGTTTCAGAATTTACCGTAGGCTAAGGCTTAAGCTTGGGCTTAGGCTTAGGCTTAGGCTTGGCTTAGGTTCAGGCTTACGCTTGGGCATAGACTTAGGCCTAGGCTTAGGCTTAGGCTTAGGCTCAGGGTCAGGCTTAGGCTTAGGCTTAGGCTTAGGCTTAGGCTTAGGCTTAGGCTTAGGCTTAGGCTTAGGCATAGGCTTAGGCTTAGGCTTAGGCTTAGGCTTAGGCTTGGGGTTAGGCTTAGGCTTGGGCTTGGGCTTAGGCTTGGGCTTAGGCTTCGGCTTCGGCTTGGGCTTAGGCTTGGGCTTATCAGAAGCCGCTTAAACTCGATTTTCAGACTCGATAAGCTGATCGCTGGAATGTGCATGGGAGAACTGGTTCGACTCGTCTTAGAAAAGCTGACCAGAGGAAAGGTTAGCAAGCTAGCACAAATTATTTGGGAATTGAGGCAGGCTAGCAGAGATCCTTGAGGAAAGAGCAGGCTAGCAGAGATGATTGAGGAAACCTCTCATTTTCTAGGTTCTCTTCGAGGGCCTCGGCTCGGAGACACTCTTCACAATCGGCTCCTTCCCCACCAAATACATTTCTGAGATTCTACAGTAAGTTAGAGCTACAGTAGCCGTGCGGGAAGGCTGGAAAATCTAAATTTTTTGTTTCCAGTGACGATTGCGGCTCGTACGTGCATACCAGGCAAATTATGGGCGAGCTGGGGATCGATGACTATACATTTTCGGATATGCTGTTGTTTAGGTGAGAGAGAGCGAGAGAGAGAGAAAGAGAGAGAGAGAGAGAGAGAGAGAGAGAGAGAGAGAGAGAGAGAGAGAGAGAGAGAGAGAAAGAGAATGCCAAAAAGCGAAGATAGCTTGATTTGCATATTTTCAGAGAAGTCTGCGTAGTCGTCTCCAGAAGAGCAGCGAATCTGGCGGCAGCTTGTAGGTTTTCTATCATCCTATCTAACGGGCCGATGAAGCCAAGAATCCATAGCTTTTTAGCGATCGCCTGCGTGCTGAATCGGGTCAAAAAGCCGCATATGATTGTGGGAATTGACGGGTCGACTTATAAGTAAGTTTTATAAGCTAGGCCTAAGCCCATGCTTAAGCCTAAGCTTAGGCAGACGACGAAGCTAAGCATGCGCGTAAGCCTAACAAGGGAACCTTACGGGGACATGGTGGAACTTCGGAAAACGCTCGCGGCTACCCCCGGGTAATCGGCCATTGCGATCACGATGCGCTTGTCGGATTTTTCTAAATAGACCTGTGGACAGAGATACAGCACTTCCGGAAAATGCTGATTTACATGCAAAAAATTAGCATAGAAGAATGGTTTATGAGGCTCTCTCATCACTATGGAATCACCAGTTGAATGGCCGAGTGGTAAGCGACTCGCTTGATAGGATTCTAACGAGGGTTCGAATCCGCTCACGATTTTTTGTTTTTGCTTTTTGGCCAAAGATTTTTGTACAAGTCCAGATTGTTACTAGTAATAGTCCGAAATCCCTATTGGCGTTATATTCCATGTTTAACAATTAAAGGCAAAAAATCGAAAAATGAAAATCAGATCCGCCGGCTGAGGTTCCCACACCTGACCATCTGCAACAAAAAATAAAAATTTTTTACAAGAATAATTTTCTAACCACGTAACGTCGACAAGCGTCATCAAATTAAGAAGTACTTATGATTTTGGACTTGTACAAAAATCTTTGACCAAAAAGCAAAAACAAAAAATCGTGGGCGGATTCGAACCCTCGTTAGAATCCTATCAAGCGAGTCGCTTACCACTCGGCCATTCAACTGGTGATTCCATAGTGATGAGAGAGCCTCATAAACCATTCTTCTATGCTAATTTTTTGCATGTAAATCAGCATTTTCCGGAAGTGCTGTATCTCTGTCCACAGGTCTATTTAGAAAAATCCGACAAGCGCATCGTGATCGCAATGGCCGATTACCCGGGGGTAGCCGCGAGCGTTTTCCGAAATTCCACCATGTCCCCGTGAGGTTCCCTTGTAAGCCTAATCCACCATTTTTTAGATACCACCCCTTCTTCGAGCACTGGGTGTACGAGAAAATCCGCGAGCTGATCGAGCCCGGGCTTGATGTAAGATTGTCAGGATTTTAAAGGCATTGGAAAGCGGCCAAATTGAAGGAAGAGTCCATAGCCAGGGCTTCCTCGGTCCTTTTAAAGCCCCCTATGGATTTTCACTTCCAGGTCCCTAAAAAGGGGTAACATCCCAAAAAAAGCTGTTTTTTTCAGTTCAAAATCGTGCAAACCGGCGACGGATCCGGAAGGGGAGCCGCCCTAATCACGGCCATTATTTGGAGGCTGAAAAAGAGACGACAAGCCGAAGAGCAGAAACATTTGGATCGAAGACTGTCGATAGAACAGTACGAGAAGGAGAGGGAAGAAAAGGAGAAGCAGACGGAGGAAGTGAAGCAGATGGAGAATAAGTGCGTGTTTTGGAGGGGCAGGCTAGCAGAGATTCTTTAGGAAAGGGCAGGCTAGCAGATATTCTTTAGGAAAGGGCAGGCTAGCAGAGATTCTTTGGCATTATTTCCTCAATAATACCTGCTAGATTGCCATAATTATAGATGGTTTGACAGTCCAACTGAAGTGATCGCCGCAGCCATCGGGCAGTCTGTAGCTGAAGATCCGGTTGATGTGGCTGCTCACGAGATTGAGGAGGTCGGTTAGGCTTAGGCTTAGGCTTGGCTTAGGCTTGGCTTAGGTCAGGCTTAGGCTTTAGCTTAGGTTTGGGCAGAGACTCAGGCTTAGGCCTAATCTCCGGCTTAGGCTTAGGCTTAGGCTTAGGTTTAGGCTTAGGTTTAGGCTTACGTTTAGGCTTAGGCTTAGGCTTAGGCTTCGCTTAGGCGTGGGCTTAGGCTTAGGCGTAGTCAACTTCACTGTAGCGAACAACAACCTTTTTAGCCGGAAGAATCGGTGGTCGAACTTGATGACGGTCCCGGAAAACTGGTAGATGAGCACAGAATAAAGCCACCAACGGAACCGGAAACGCCGCGCAAAAAATTGAACGGTTCCCCGGAGAAAGATCATGATCATCAACATCTGAAAAATGAGGTGCCGACCGAAATTCCGTACCTGAACGGTGGACAGGTGCGTTTAAAGGCGTTTTGAAGTAAAGATTTGGGTAGCTAGCTAGCAGGGATCCTTGAGGAAACATCAAAAAAATTAATGATTTCAGGATGATGATACCTCCACCTCATCACTTTCTGAAGAGCTCGACGGCTCCGCCAGGGAAATTGAATAGAAAAGTCTATTCTCGCAAAAATACTCGCTTAATTATTCATTTTATATTATTTATTAGGTGTAGTTAGACAAATTAAAATGTCTCTCTCTCGCCCTCTTTCTCTCTCGCGCTCTCTCTCCCTCTCTGTCTCTCTCGCTCTCTCCCTACACTTGCCGGTCCCTTTAAAACCCGTCAGATTGAAATTCAAGATTCACCGCCTATTTTCAGTTGTGCCAATATTTTTTTGATTTCCAGACTGGTAAATCTTAAATTGAGATTTAAATATCGTATCCCCTTGCCATCCCGCTCTACGTGTTCAGCTGGTCATCTACATTGCGAGTGTGCTGCTCATTTCCCGATTGCCCTCGGCGAGTCGCTCAATTTTGTCAAAGAACAATGATATTGATTGGTGAAATAAATATGTTGTACCATTGAGAGGATGGAGAATTCATGAAATTTGCATAAACAAATGGAAAATGGTAAAAATTGGGTCTCTATATCGCTCTCCATCTGTCTGTCTGGCTCTCTCGCCAGACAGCCTAAAACAAATACGAAAAATTAGCCAAAACACGTCGCAAAACTAGCAGAATAATATTTGCTAAAGCTTATGAAAACAAATGAGACACCTCTCTCTCTCTCTCTCTCTCTCTCTCTCTCTCTCTCACCCTCTCTCTCTTGTCCGCTCTATCTCTCGCTCGCACTCTTTTTCTCTCTCGCTGTCTCTCTTTCACTCACTCTCTCCCATTCTCTCTCTCTCGCTCTCTTTCTCTCTCTCTCTCTCTCTCTCTCTCTCTCTCGTTGACTAATAGATCATTCTCCATCCGGTTGGCTACTTGATGACTCATTATTAGTGACCCCAAAATTTTGTTATTCCAGAAAAGCAAAAAAAAAACGGCCGACAACGAGCCGATCCGCTACCCGACAGCTAAGTCAACACATCCCGGGGCCCACCTCTGAATTTTCCACATAAAATGTGGGGGTGCGCATGTCAGATTCGTATTAGGCTGTATAGTGTTGGCCACAGTTTTTGTCCATTTCAATTACAGTATTATTAGGTTGGACCGAAAGTCCTTATAATCGAACTTCGGAAATTCCTCTCGAAAGGTTTTGTGCACCGCCAAGGTTGTTTCTTTTTTAATATATTTGTTGACTTCAATAGTATCTTGGATAAAAAATTACAAGCTTCTAGCCCCAGAGATTTTTATTATTTTTGCGTTTTTGTCTGAGGGGTCTCAAATTTTAGAGCCTGACATCTTTCCGAAGAGCCATAAAGTTACCATAGGAATGGGATACTATCATGATAATACGTTTTCGCAACTAATTTAATGCCGAAAGAGGCAAAGAAGTAAATCGGAACGTGTTGGAGAACGGCGGAACGAGGCGATGTTCCGGTTTATTGTAAAGCAAACGGAAAAAATTCTAAGGAAACGCCTTTTGATTCCGACCCCCCGGGCCAAATAGAGCATTTGATAGTGCATGCGTCTATCGCAAAAACATTTATTTCTGACTCGTTTTCTGGAAAGAAAATATGAAAGAGTCAAAAATATTACAAGAACTTTCGGTCCAACCCAATAGATCAATTCATAAAGAATCTCTGCCAGCCTGCCCTTTCCTAAAGAATCTCTGTTAGCTTGCCTGTGATTTCCGCTATCCAAAAATCCATAAATTAGTTTTTAAAGCATGCTCGGTCACCTGAAGTTACTCATCGTCGCCGTCACGGCCGTCTCCGCCCAGTTCAGAATCCCGGGACAAGCGGTAAGACGAGAGAGAGAGCGAGAGAGAGAGAGAGAGAGAGCGAGAGAGAGAGCGCGCGACTTAAAGAGCGAAATAAACCCCTATAAAATGCAATCTAGGGCTTCCAAGCTGGCCCGCAACCTGGCCAACAAGGCGGTCAGCAACCGCAGCAACCCGGCCAGTTTGGTCAGCAAGAACAAGGCCAACAGGGCCAGCAGGGACAGCAGATTCTCCCGGTAACCTTGCCTACAATTTTCCATTATATTACTCTTTCCAGTGGCAGCAGAACGGCCAAAATGGAATGAACAACCAGAACGGACAGCCGGGAGGCCAGCAGACGTTTCCTGTAGGTTTTTGCTCGGCTTTTGTCTCTCTATCTTGCTCTATCTTGCTCTCTCTCTCTCTCTCTCTCTCTCTCTCTCTCTATCTCATTCCCTCTCTCTCTACCGCTTGACTTTTTACTAAAATAATTGTAGAACCAACAAAACGGCCAGTTCGGCAACCAACAGCAAGGCCAACAGGGGCAGCAGGGTCCGCAAACCTTCCCGGTAAGTTTTCTGCGCTTTGTCTCTCTCTCTCTCTCGCTCTGTGTCTCTCTCTCCCTCTCTCTCTCCCGCTTCATCGATTTACCCATACGATTTTTACGTAATATTTTCAGAACCAGCAAAACGGCCAGTTCGGCAACCAACAACAAGGCCAACAAGGCCAATTCGGCCAGGGCCAAAACGGCAACCAGCAAATCGTCGTAGGCCCTAAAAATCGTACAAACAAAAATTCAAATTTAGCCCGGACCCGGCCAACCCATCAACTCGAACACAAACGGCGCCAACGGCTACCAACCCTGGAGCCAGAATCAGAACCAGGGCGGTCAGCAGCAGGGAGGTCAGCAGGGAGGACAGTTCGGAGGGCAGCAAGGAGGTCAGCAGCAGCTCCCCTTCGGCAACCAGAACAACCAGGTAAGCTAGCAGCTATCGTTGAGGGTTCGCTTATTTTCAGAACCAAGGAGGCCAATGGGGGCAGCAGGGCCAACAAGGACAGTTTGGCGGCCAACAGGGCCAGCAGGGTCAGATCGGCGGTTTTGGGCAGAATCAGGTAGGAGGATAAGCTTAGGATTAGGCTTAGGGTTAGGCTTAGGCTTAAGCTTAGTCCTAGGCGTAGGCTTAGACTTAGACTTAGCTTAGGCTTAAGCCGAATCTTCGTCCTAGGCTTAGGCTTGGGCTTAGGCTCATCATAATTATGAGGCTTTCAGGACAACGGCAACCTGGAGAAGAACACTTTCGGCAACTCGATGACGACGCTCCCCGACTTTGTCATCCAAGCCCCGGTCGAAGCTCGCCAAGCTTTCGCCCAAATCATTCAGCAGGTAGGTGCTCAAACGGCCTCTGCTAGCCAGCCCTTTCCCAAAGAATCGCTGCTGGCTTGCCCTCTAAATCTTCATTTTCCAGACCAATCAAACCCTGGCGCAACGTGACGCGGCGCTGCTCAAGTGGTCCAACACGTACAATGTTACGGTAAGCTCCGAAACCAACCAATGGAATTGGTTTTAGGCCCAATACAACAGCTACGTGGCCAAGGAGACGAACACGACGTTGCAGCTGCAGAGTGAGTTGACTTAGGCTTAGGCTTATGCCTAGGCTTAGGCTTAGGCTTTGCTGAGGCTTTGCTGAGGCTTTGCTTAGGCTTAGGCTTAGGCTTAGGCTCCGGAATATTAAGCTCTAAGATGTACAAAAACACTTTAGGCAACGCCACCCAGACCCTTGTGGAAATGCAACAAGTCCTCGCCAAGCTGTTCGCCCTCCAGAAGAACAACTCCCTGACGACGCAGCAGATCGGTAAGCGCGGATTTTCATATGGATTATGACTTCAACAGTCCTTTAAACTTGCTTTTTTCAGTCCAAACCATCGAGACGACCCTGTCGACGATGAGCAACGACAAGAGGGCCCTGCTTGGACAGGTGGGCTAGCAGAGATCCTTCCGGAAAGGGCCGACCAGCAGAGATTCTTTAGGAAAGGGCAGGCTAGCAGGGATTTTTAGGGAGGGGCAGGCTAGCAGAGATTCTTTAGGAAAGGGCAAGCTAGCAGAGATTCTTTAGGAAAGGGCAAGCTAGCAGAGATTCTTTAGGAAAGGGCAAGCTAGCAGAGATTCTTCAGGAAATTAACCGAACAAGGATTTTTGGGAAAACTCTTCAAGCAAGCTGGCAGAAACCATTAGGGAATTCGTCAGGTCTAATGCTATTTTTCAGATCCTCCGAATCGCCGGCGGTCAAACACAGCCCCAACAGCCGAACGGTACTGATTTTTGGGCTTACTGTAGATTTTTGCGTTTTAGGAAACGGCTTCAACCAGAACGGGCAAAACGGAATGAACGGAAATAGTGGAAACAACGGAAATAATGGCTTTAATAACCAAAATGGCCAAAATGGCCAAAATGGATTCAATGGAAACAACGGCTTCAACAGCCAAAACGGACAAAACGGACAAAACGGACAGAATGGCTGGCAACCCAGGGACTACTCGAATAATTTTGGCGTTAATGTGATGCATGTGTCGTGAAAAATTACTTGAAAAGTGATCAAAATCTTTGTTTGAATAAATATTTGAAACCAGCCATCCCTTTCCTAAAGAATCTCTGCTAGCCTGCCTTTTCCAAAATAACCCTGTTAGCCTGCCCGCAATTTGCTAGCAGTCCAGGAGAACCAGGAGCCTTTCGAGCAGTTCAGAGTTCAGAGTTCAGAGCAGTTCAAAAAGCCGAAGCCTTGTCGAGCCGTTCAGAAGCAACCGAAACTTTTCGAGCAGTTCAGAAGTAACAGTCTTTTTTGAGCAGTTCAGACGAAATTGAAGCTTTTCGAGCGGTCCAAAACCGAGGCTTTTCGAGCAGTTCAGCGGACCCAGAAGGTTTTCGAGTAGTTTAGCAGAAACCGAAGCTTTTCAAGCAGTTCAGAAGAAAAACAAGGTTTTGGAGCAGTTCAGGAAAACCAAAAACTTTTCTAGCTGCTCAGTGTTAACCGCAGCCCTTTTCAGGCTGATCAAGAAGCCGAAGCTTTTCGAGCAGTTCAAGAGAACCAGAAGCTTTTCGAGCTGCGCAGAAGCAACCCAGGCCTTTCGAGCAGTTCAGAAGAAAACGAAGGTTTTGGAGCAGTTCAGGAGAACCAGACGCTTTTCCGGCTGCACAGAAGAAGCCCAGGATTTTCGAGCAGTTCAAAAAGCCGAAGCTTTTCGAGCAGTTTAGAAAAACGGAAGCTTTTTCACGTTTCTCTTTCCTTTAAGTGCATTTTCATTTTCCTTCAATATTAATATTTCCTTTATCCACACTCAATCAATACCTCAATATGCAAATTATCCAAAAATAACACCAAAACACACAAAATTAGCATAAAAAAATCCTTGCACATTTTCGGGATCGGCGGGGCGCATTAATAGCGTGGCTTAATAGCTGCATTGGGCAATTTAAAGAATTCCGAATTAAAGCACAACGACTACAATTTGGCAACAATGCAAAATCACACACAAAAAAAATACAAAAATTCTATTAAAATTCCAGGGGTTTTCGGGTTTACGGTTTTTGGGATCACAAGGGAACCGGGGCGCTGAATAGGGGGCAAATCAGCGATTTTAAAAATTTCTAATATTTTAATTTTAATTTTAAATTCAAGCTAATTACTATGGTATTTTTGGGGGGTTAATATGCAGATTTTGGGGTGAGAAAAACGCAAATCGGATTAAACGATGTGTGACGCACACGCTTGCTGAGTTTTCGGAATTTTCGGCATTTTTTTGGACGGGAAATTGGCTGTATGGAAATTAGGTTAGGCTTGGGCTTGGGCTTAGGCTTGGGCTTGGGCTTAGGCTTAGGCTTACGCTTAGGCTTAGGCTTAGGCTTAGGCGTGGCTTAGGCTTACGCTTAGGCTTAGGCTTAGGCTTAGGCTTGGGCTTAACCTACTGTTGACAAAATTATACAAATTTCAAAACATTTTCAGCCAATTTCCCTCCCGAAAAAAATCCGGGGGAAGGTGTAAGTTTAAAATCAAATCGCAACGCATTAAAGCCAAAAATTTAAAGCTTATAAAACTATAACAAAATCGTAAAAATTATGCAAATTACGCAAATGACAAGGCCTCATTGCTAGTGGCGTCGGCAAAAGATCGCAAATATTGGGCGGTGCGAGGGGGGGGATTATTGCAAATCAGGGTACCAAAATTCCAAAAAATCACATCAAAAATTATTAGAAAAATGGTGAGAATTTTGAATAGAAAATTTCTGCAAAAAAAACCAATGCAAAAAATGAGTTAAAGCAAGTGCACTGCGGGGGTATGACAAAGCGCGCGAAGTTTTTAAAGCACTTTAGGAGAAAAGGTTGGATGCAAATTAGGCAGAGGAAGCTTAGGCTTAGGCTTAGGCTTAGGCTTAGGCTTAAGCTTAGGCTTAGGCTTAGGCTTAGGCATAGGCTTAGGCTTAGGCATAGGCTTAGGCTTAGGCTTAGGCTTAGGCTTAGCCTTAGGCTTGGGCTAGCTTAGAGTCAAGAAGTGACTCTAAAATTGTGACATATACCGCACGCTACTGGCAATTGGAGGGTTGTGAAAAGTCAAAGCTTTCGAAGCTCAAAAACGAAGCTTTCGAAGCCTAAAACGAAGCCAGCGGGCTGGCCGTCGAGGCGGAGGTGGTTACGGTAGAAGTTGGGAAGAGAGCAGCAACTTTCGCGACGCGATGCTCATCGGTTTGGAGGTGGTTCTGAAAATGCCATATTTAGCATAAAACTAGATAAAATTCATATGGTAGTCTTCGGTTTAAGCGTAAGCCTAAGCCTAAGACCAAGCCTAAGCCTAAGCCTGAACCAAACTGCCCACCTTGAAGTCGACCTGGGTGCCAAAGTGCTGGCCGCACGGGATGCACTCGTAGTGGGTCTGGACGAGCACGAGCTGGCCCTCCGCTTGCGAGCAGATGGTCCTGGAATAGGAAAGGTAAGGAAGTTCTCTCTCCCTCTCTCTCTCTCTCTCTCTCTCTATCTCTCTCTCTATCTTTCTCTGGCTCTAGCTCTCTCTCACGCACTTCCTCTCGCCCTTGCCCTCTCTCTCTGTCGCCCTGAAACCAACCTCTGATGGGATTTGAGGAGAGCTTCTTGTTGGAAGACATTCGTGCATCGGGAGCACGCCCAGCCGACCTGAAAAGTAATGCATTACATCAGAGAGAGAGAGAGAGAGAGAGAGAGAGAGAAGAGAGAGATAATGCGAGAGAGTGAGAGCGAGAAAACCTTACCTCCATGTTCTTCTGCGCCGCGCACTTTGCATCATCCTCGTCAAGGCCGGAGATCAGCTCCTCAAACGCGAGCCCATCCTGCGTGAACTTTGTCGTCATCCGGCCCTCGCTCAAGTCGGTGGTGATCTGGGCCATGACCGTTTCCGGGATCTGCAGCAGCGGAATCGGCGTGCCCATCACGCTCGGGTCGTACACCATCGGGAGGGAGCCTGAAATGGGAAAGATAGGATGAAGGCTAGCTAGCACGGATTCTTGTGGACATCTGAAGGACTAGAAATCTCTTTTCCCAAGAAACCACTGCTAGCTTGCCCTTTCCTAAAGAATCTCTGCTAGCATGCCTTTTCTTAAAGAATCTCTGCTAGCCTGCCGGACAATTCCCAAATGATCTCTGCTTACCTTGCGGCAGTCCAAAGTTCAGCAAGTTGAACGGAAATTCGTGCGCATTCAGCGGTGCTGCTCCCTTCTTTGGTGACGAATCCCGGACAATTGGTGCTCTTTGTCGTCCTCCATTCTCCTCGACACTCCTCGTCGCCGTCTCCGTCTCATCGCCCTGGTGCAACGACTTCAACACGGTCAGATGGGGCTGGGAGAAGACGTGGTCTTGGAGAGACACCCGGGATGAGAACTCGACGTTGCAGTAGCTGCACTGGGTGGGGAACGGCCTGGAGATGTCGTCGTCCTGGCCGTTGGCCACACGGGTTTTTCGCTCTTTCGCACGAGCATTTTGGAACCACACCTGCACGACGCGCTTGTGGAGGCCTGAAAGGGGGTGGGGTTAGAATTACAAAAATTCGCTAGGAATCTCTGGTAGTTTGCCTCTTGAGGTGACCGAATTTCCTGCAGAATCTCTGCTAGCCGGCCTAAGGTCCTAAGGTCCTAAGGAATCTTTGCCAGCCTGCCCGAAACAAATAACAGTAGCTCGCTGTAAATAGACAAAAGCCGCAGCTTTTCGAGCAGTTCAGAAGAAACCGAAGCTTGTCGAGCAGTTCAGGAGAACCAGGTCATTTCCGAGCAGCACAGGAAAACCCCGAAGTTTTTCGAGTAGTTCAAAAAGCCTCTGCTGCCCTTTTCTAAAGAATCCCTGCTAGCCTGCCCTTTTCGTAAAGAACCTCTGCTAGCCTGCCTTTTCCTAAAGAATCCCTGCTAGTTTGCCCCTTAATTACCCCAAAAATTCCTTACCAATATCCCGTCCCAGTGTGTCGCACTCGGACATTGAAGGCGTCTTATATTCCGAGAAGATACACTTCATAACATGGACTTGAAGTGGTGTCAGATGGGTACGGTATCGCTTGTTATTGGCGGGGCTTCGGGATTCTCCTTGGGATGAGGTGGATTGCATGGCGTTGTGGGCCAGGGCGGAGAAGATGTCATCTCCCTGGTCGTCACCTGGAAAGCGAGGGATGAAGAGAGAGAGCGAGAGAGAGCGAGAGAGCGAGAGATGCAGAGAGGAGAGAGAGAGAGAGAGAGAGAGAGAGAGAGAGAGAGAGAGAGAGAGAGTGAGGGACAGGAATAGAACCCACCATCAGAGCCTCCACCTAAAAAAGGAGAAACCGAGAGGTCGTGTCGTTCCATCGAGCCGTTCGACGACAGGTCGAGCGGAATCGACGTGTCGCCCAGGAGCGTTGAGGACAATGAGGGCACCTGAAAAACAAAAATAAGAATTTTCTAGCCTTTTAAAACGCGAAAACCCAGTTTTTTGAGACTTCCTGATCCCTTTAAAATCGGCCCAAAAAAGGGAAATCTAGAGAATTTTCATTGCCAGGCCTTTTAAAACGCTAAAATCCGCGATTTCCAGACTTGCCAGTCCCTTTAGACCGAAAAACCCACATCATCCGCACTCGGCAACGCATCGATGTCGATAGGCGCCTTCTGTAGCTGCAGTCCATGCTTGGCCGGTAGATGTTCAGCCAGCGACTGCCTCGACCGGAACAGCAAGCAGCAAAACGGGCATCGCTTGTGGAAATGCGGGCTTGTCGTCGTTGAACTTGACGATGTTGTCGTGGACGGGGTCTTGGCCGCCTCGCACATCTTCAGGAGGGCTTCTGTGGAGCCGGAGCCCTGGAGGAGCTTGAGCAGCTCGGCCGGGTCGGCGAGGGCCGGAGATTTGGAGAGGGGGCGGGGCCTCCGGATTTCCGGCGAGTTGCTCCTTCTCGGCGTCGGTGAGCAGTCCCTCGACGCCCTTGTTGTCTTGGAGTTGGGCCTGGAATCGATGTGGTTATATCAGTGTAGCTGTCACGAGTTCAAGACGTTCAGGAGGTAGGCTAGCAGAGATTCTTAAGGAAAGGGCAGGCTAGCAGAGATTCTTTAGGAAAAGGCAGGCTAGCAGAGATTCTTTAGGAAAGGGCAGGCTAGCAGCGATTCTTTAGGAAAAAGCAGGCTAGCAGAGATTCTTTAGGAAAAAGCAGGCTAGCAGAGATTCTTTAGGAAGGGCAGGCTAGCAGCGATTCTTTAGGAAAAAGCAGGCTAGTAGAGATTCTTTAGGAAAAAGCAGGCTAGCAGAGATTCTTTAGGAAAAAGCAGGCTAGCAGAGATTCTTTAGGAAAGGGCAGGCTAGCAGCGATTCTTTAGGAAAAAGCAGGCTAGTAGAGATTCTTTAGGAAAAAGCAGGCTAGCAGAGATTCTTTAGGAAAAAGCAGGCTAGCAGAGATTCTTTAGGAAAGGGCAGGCTAGCAGCGATTCTTTAGGAAAAAGCAGGCTAGTAGAGATTCTTTAGGAAAAAGCAGGCTAGCAGAGATTCTTTAGGAAAAAGCAGTCTAGCAGAGATTCATTAGGAAAGGGCAGGCTAGCAGAGATTCTTTAGGAAAAAGCAGGCTAGCAGCGATCATTTAGGAATGACCGAGGCAAGCTAGCAAAGATCAATTAAATCTACAATACCTGACAATCGTCCTTGTAGCACTTCTTCTGTTGATGTTGGATCAGTTCGTAGTATCGCTGGAAGACGAGGTTGCACCGTTTGCACTGGAAGTTGCAGCCGGGCGTCCTGACGAAGCGGTCGCTGTTCTCGAGGTTCGGCTGATTCTCGTAGATTTTTCGGGCCTGAAAATTGGGTATTAACCGAATTTTCGAGGGATACGGTAGCTGGCTCGAAAGCTGTTACAGTAACCACTTTCTTGCCTTCCCAGTCCCTTTAAAAAGATCAGAAATCCACCAACCTTTTGCCTCGCATTCTGGAACCACACGACAATGACCCGCGGGGAGAGCTGCAACTTCTTGGACAACAGCTCCAGGTCGTCGTCCTTGGGGTAGGCCTGCTTGTCGAAAAACTGTTGAAGTGTCCGCAGCTGATAATCCGTGAATCGCGTCCGGTTTGCCCTCCTCCCAGCCGTTGATGGGGGCGTCGGCTGCGAGATCGGGTTCAGATTTCCGGCCAAAAGATTCCCGAACACCTCCTTGTCTTGCATGAATGAGAACGGGTTCTGTTGACCCTAGAAAAGAACGATTAGGGTGTGAAATTCCTTGGGAATCTCTGCTAGTCTGCCCTTTCCTAAAGAATCTCTGCTAGCCTGCCCGAAAAATAACAGTAAGCGGCCGAAAATAGAAAAAAGCCGAAGCTTTTCGAGCAGTTCAGAAAAACCGCAGTCTTTTTCGAGCCGTTCCGAAGAAATCGAAGCTTTTCGAGCAGTTCAGGAGAACCAGTAGTTTTCCGAGCAGTTCAAAAAGATTAGTTTAGGGTGTGAAATTCCTAAAGAATCTCTGCTAGCCTGCCCTTTCCTAAAGAATCTCTGCTAGCCTCCTATTTCCTAAAAAATCTCTGCTAGCCTGCCTTAGAAAGTCCTCAAATATCCCTGATCCCCAATACTCTCTGCTAGCTTGCCCTCAAATTCCCCAAAACACACCTGCAAGCTGCCCAAAATAGCCGCCAAATTTGGAGCACCAGCTCCCAGCGCGGCCTGTAGATTCATGGGTTGTTGCTGGGCCGGCTTCTTCTCCTCCAGCTTCTCCTGCTTGACCTCCTTCTCGACGTGGGGTACCGTCGGGAAAGCGGAAATTTGGGCGGGGCCGCTGCCGGAGCCGTTGATTTGTTCGGGGGTGAGGGGGTGCACGCGGGTTTCGCCCGTCTTCTCGTACATGTCCAAGTCGATGCCCATTTGGGGCGGGATGGAGAAGTTGTACGGGGAGTCCTTGTCTCGTTGGCGTTCCTGGAAAAATTTAGATGAAAATCAGTTTCCTGAATTTCCGCAAGGAGATCTGTTAGCCTGCCCGAGCTTTTCGAACTGCTAAGGAAAAGCCCTAGCGTTTCGAGGAGTTCAGAAGGAACCGAAGCTTTTCGAGCAGTTCAGGAGAACCAGAAGCTTTTCGAGCCGCTTAGAAGTATCGGAAGACTTTTCCGAGCAGCTAAGCCGAGGCTTTTGGAGCAGTTCAAAAAGCCGAGGCTTTTCGAGCAGTTCAAAAAGCCGAAGCTTTTCGAGCAGTTCAGAGACAGCCGAAGCTTTTCGAGCAGTTCAATCATACCTTGAACAGCGTATTCCGGAACCAGTGCTTGATGACCTTCTCGGGCAGCTGCGTCTTCAGGCTCATCTCCCGGATCTGGGCCTCGGTGGGGCTGTTGTTGATGTCGAAGTATTGGCGGAGGACCTTCAGCTGATCGTCGGTGATTCTCGTGCGAGCTCGTTTTGCGGGAGAAGCAGCTGCTTGAAGGGCTACCATCTGAAAGCCAAAATTATCAAGTGACCAGCGCCCAAAACCCGCTTCGCGGGCCTTGGGCGCTGGAATGCGGCCTTTGCATGAAAAAATTGACTTTCTGATAGCTCGGGTCCTGCGGACCCCCGCCCCGACCACACGCGCGAGTGCAACTGGCCAGAATGAGGAAGTTTGTATTTTTCGCATTATGCAAATTAGCCTTCAGGTACCCCCAAAAATCAATAAAACCGCCTTTAACTTTGTAACCTTGTATTTTTGAGAAATTCTGAAAACGCCATCGGAAACAGAAGGGTCGATTCCCCCGGGTGACGGAGAATTAGGGCATTTTATGCACGGGAAGGCCCTCAAATCGGGCCTCGAAAGTGACATCCACACACACACACACACACATACACTCCAAAATTATATAAGGTAGGACTAAAGTAAGCTAAGCCTAAGCCTAACCCTAAGCTTAAGATAAACCTAAGCTTAAGCCTAAGCCAAAGCCTAAGCTTAAGCCAAGCTGGCTTCAAACCCCATAATTCCAAGCCCAACCTGCTGCGCCAGTAGCGGGTTGAAGAAGCCCGTCCATCGGCAGGAAGGGGTTCGGCTGCAGGAAGGGGAAGCCGGCCTGCATCATGTTGAGCATCATCTGGGCGGTGGCGTCGCCGGCAGAGGCGTCGTTTTCGTTCCGGGATTTCTGAAAAAGATGGTTATTAAATCGTAGTAAAATCTTAGCTTAGGCTTAGGCTTATGCTTAGGCTTAGGCTTAGGCTTAGGCTTGGGCTTGGGCTTGGGCGTAGGCTTAGCCTTGGCATAGGCTTAGGCTTGGGTTAAGCTTAGGCTTAGCATAGGCTTAGGCTTAGGTTAGGCTTGAGCTAGGCTTAAGCTTAGCCTATTTAGGCTTAGGCTTGGCATAGGCTTAAGCTTAGGCTTAGACTTAGCTTGGGCTTAACTGAGGCTTCTCTTGGTTAGGCTTAGGCTTAGGCTCAGCTTCTCAGTTAGCATACCTTCTCCGGCGGTTCCATCGTATCATCCCTCGAAGAGCTTCTGCTCTCATTCGACCCCGGATTCGACACCTCCACCGCCGATTCCTCAATGGTCTTTGCTAGCCGTTGGGTGAACGCTTCGAGGTGGGCGGGACTCAGCTGGCCGTCGTGAGCATCTTCTTGGTGTTGTTTGAGGGCGAGGAGGCTGGGGAGTGTTTGGGCGCAACTCTCGCACTCCGACTTGGCCAACTCGGCGATGCAGACGTCGGGGAGGTCGTCGAGGCGGGTGAGGAGCGTTTGGAGGGAGTCGGGGAACTGGAAACGCGGGGTTTAAAGGTGTCGTGAAGGCAACTTTAGATAGTGTAAATAATTTTAAAGGACGATTGAAGGCAATTTATATGGCGTAATAGGCTTTAAAGGGGTATCGAAGGCAAATTTGATGGCATGATCAGCTTTAAAGGACTGTTGAAGGCAAATTTAAGTGGTTTAATCGGTTTTAAAGGCCTGTTGAAGGCAAATTTCGGTGGCGTCATTGGTTTTAAAGGGCCCTTGAAGACAAATTTAGATGCCGCAATTGTTTTAAAGGACTGTTGAAGGCAAATTTCGACTTTTGGAACCGATTTTAAAGGACCAATGAAGCCAAGCAGAACCTCAAAATGTCTAATAAATCCAGATTCGGGTGTAAAAGCCAATTTTAAAGGACCATTGAAGGGAAATTCAAAATTTCGGATACCTCCTCGACGCCGATCGCCTCGATCATCCGCCGCAGGCCGGCGACGGTGGTTGGCGCAGCGGCGTCATCGTCGCTCGACGAGGAGGTGGAAGCTGAAAATGCAAGAAATTACGAACTACAAGCCTCAAAACTCACGCAGTAACTGCCCGGGCTTCATGTTGAACAGCTGGGCCATGTTGAGCAGGTTGTTGAACATGGCCATCGGGTTCGAGGCCGCGCCCGCCTGGAAAACGAGAGTGAATTTTCGGAAGGTTCCCCAAAAATCTCTGCTGGTACGCTCAAAAACGCGAGAGAGTGGTAGAGAGAGATCGAGAGAGAGACAGAGAGGGACAGAGCGAGAGAGACAGAGACCTAGAGAAATAGAGAGAGCGAGAGAGAGAAAGAGAGAGATAGAGAGATAGAGAGAGAAAAGCGAGAGAGAGTGAGAGGGAGAGAGAGCGAGATAGAGAGAGAGAGAGAGCGCGCGATCAAGAATCAGAAAACGGAAAATTCCGAAAAAATCTTTGCTCGCCATACAGATCTCTGCTAGCGTTCCTTGTGGCATCGAAAAATTCAAAGAGATAGAGCGAGAGAGAGAAAAAAAGAAAGAGAGAGACCGAGAGAGCGAGAGAGAGCGAGAGAGATATCGAGAAACCAAAATTCCCACCAAATTCCCATTCCAAATTCCATCGCAATACCCATATCCGGCCCAAAATTTCCATGCCTCCCCCCCTGATCGCGTGAATGGTATTGGATGGGTCTTTGTGTAGCGCCCCACCCTTGAAATGTAATGAGTACAGTCGCGTTGTCCGTCCCCCCACTCAATCAATCCGCCACACTAATTGGTTTTCGCGGCGCTCTGGCTCCTCTCAATTCTCGTGCTCACTCACGCCCTCCCTAACTGCTATATATGCAATGGATGAATTGAATGAATGGTTATTGACAGATCGGGGCGCGCGTCGGTAAATTGCCGGGGTGATGGGAAAATGGGCTCGATTGGGACGATTTTCGGGAATTGGCAATATTGAAATTTGATGAGAATTTGGACCCGAATTTGGGGGTAACTAGCAGCGAAAATTTGGAGAAATAACCAATCGGAGAGAGTTAGAGAGAAAGCGAGAGAGACAGAGAATGAGAGAGAGAACGTGCAAGAGGATTAGAGAGATAAAGCGAGATGACAAGAAAAAGAGCAGGAGCGTCAGCCAGAGAGAGACAAAGAGAGAGAGTGAAAGAGCGAGACGTAGAGAAAAGAGAGAAAGAGAAAGAGAGACAGAGAGAGAGAGAGAGTCGCAAAAAGTTGTAAATCCAGAAAAAAGTTGAGGAAAACTGTTGCCATTCCGGCAAAAAAGGTCGTTAGGAGCACGTCCAGAGATCGGAGGCGATTAAAGGGCATTTCCCTGACGAAATTACAGATTTTAAAAGCAGGTGACAACAGTCGTATTAGGTGCTAAATTAAGGTAAACTTTAAGATTACGGCATGATGAGAGAGCGAGAGAGACAGAAAAAAGAAAGAGAGAGAGAGAGAGAGGGAGTGAGAGAGAGAGGGGGGAGATCGAGAAACAGAAAACTAAAAATTTTACGGTATCTAGAATTTTCGAGAATTCAGCACAGAAATATTGAAAATTTTGCAAATTCATCGTCGATTCATTTGGAGCATGACTGTCAGGGGGTGGTCCTCAAATTTAGGAGAGTATGGGGGAGTGGGCGGAGCAAGGCCATTTCTCTCGCTCCCTCTCTCTCTCTCACCTGGCGCGAAGGCCTCTAATTTGCATGAGACTGTCCAGCCTCCTCCTCCTCCTCCCCTGACCATGACGAATAAATGAGCGTGTGGCCGATCTGAGGGCGAGAGAGTGAGAGAGAGAGGGAGAGAGACAGAGTGTGTGAGAGCGAGAGAGAGAGTGAGAGAGAGGCAATTTAGAGGAGGCCGACACCGGCGATCCGTCACGATTTACGAGGCGCCCTTGCCCCCCACCACCTCGATCCCTTAATTCGGCCCGACGGTTTTTGTAGGCCCGGAATTAGCGTAGCGCGGCGGAATTTTCGGGTTTAAAGGGCCCAGGAAGGCAAAAATTGGTGGATTTTTGCAGCTTTACCATCCCAAATTTAGCGCAACCTTTTCAGTAGTCTACCGTCACCCGCCAAAGAAATTTTTGAGAAAAAGGCCCCAGCTGGGACCCACGCATCTGCTTATTGCATTTTAAAAAACCCTGATGCATAATTTGCCCTCGGAAAGTGCAGAATTAGCGTCTGGCCGCCCAGCTAGTGCGTACAGAGGAAAAAGATTTTTGCAGCCAAGGGCAAATCATACAGTAGGACAATGTGCTAATTTTGACGGCGTATCTTGGATACTGTATCTTAACAAAAAGGACAAAATTAGATTACACAATACGTGACAGTACGCGACAGTACGCTACATTACGATGCGCTACGCGATAATACGCTGATGTACTACAGTACGCTTCGCCAAAGTATGTGGTACATCATCTTACGCGATAGTACACTACGCTAGGTAGAATGCAGTGAAGTACCGTAGGACGCGTACAAAGCCCTAAATCACGCAACAATACGCGGCGTAGCAGTACGCGACCGTACGCTATGCTAGCCGCAGTACCCTGAGCGCGTTACGCGTTACGTTATAGTACGCGCCCGATACGCAATAGTACACGACTGTACGGCACGTAACATTAAGCGCGAGTACGCTAAAAAATTCCGAGCTTCATCAGTCAAGGCATTCATCAAAAAAATTGCCAGTTACTGTAGCCACGCCAAAAATTCCGGGCCGCTTCCCTAGACGCTACAAAAGTTGGCGGAAAGTTTTGGAAATGAAACGAAATAAAGTGAACGAGACTTTCCGGCACCGCCGCTATCAGCTTAATCACTCAGGAATAACTCATAAAGGGTGAGAGAGAAAGAGAGAGAGAGAGAGAGAGAGAGAGAGAGAGAGAGAGAGAGATAACAAAAGATGAAGCCGCAAACTTTATGATTTCCGGGGTATTCCCCGGACCAAAGCTGGGTGATGAGTTGGCCCACCCGAAAAAAGGGCATCCCAACCTTTCGCGGCCCTTTAAAGGGCCCGAAGCGGGTGAGAGAGAGACAGCGAGAGAGAGAGAGAGGGAGAGAGAGAGAGAGGAATACAAAGACAAAGCCCGGGAATCATATGTATATTGTTGGTCGTCACCACGGGGCCCGTGGGGGCTGTGCAAGTCAAGCCACAACACGCCGAAGACGCGCTTTGGCGCATACGGCGGCCTTTGTGAAGAGTTGTGGGTCGTACACTGAGTCATAGAGAGGTGAGAGAGTGAGAGAGTGAGAGAGAAAGGGAGAGAGGAAAAATCAGAATCGACTAAATATGCCGGTTTCGCTTTTGAATACTGTAGATTTTGCATGCCGGATCCCTTCAAAACGCGGGCCTAGGCTTAAGTCAAGCTTCGATTTCGGCTTAGGCTAAGCTTCATTTCCTGCTTAAATTTAAGCTTTCAATCTCGGCTTAGGCTAAGCTTCGATTTCGGCTTAGGTTAAGCTTCGTTTTTGGCTCAGGTTAGGCCTCGTTTTCGGCTTAGTTTAAGCTGATTTCGGCTTAGGCCAAGCTTGGACCTAGGCTTAGGCTTAGGCTTAGCCCAGGCGGTGCCTCTTGTCGGCGCATCATAAAGGCGTTGATTCACACCTAAAAAGCGCCCTACCGCTGTATGAAAATGAGAGGCTAGAGCGAGAGAGAGAGAGAGAGCGAGAGAGAGAGAGAGCGAGAGAGATGAAGCAAAAAGCCATGATCCCCCAAAAATGATCCAGCACTTTGAGGCGCTCCATATGAGGCGTGGGAAAGCAGCGAGCGCGGCTCATTCCCGATTCCTTTATGAGCGGCACCTCGCGCGATTGGACCGCGTAATTTGCATATTCTTGCCAGGGGTCTTACTTTCAAAATAAGCTGGGCTTAAAGGGACCGGGAAGCCGGCCCGAGGAGCGAGAGAGAGGGAGCGAGTGAGAGCAAGAGAGAGAGAGAGAGAGAAGAGCGGGAAAAAGAAGAACGAAAACCCCTTAACAACGCAAAAATCCTCTCCAAAATTATTGCCAGCCCCTTCGCGCCTCGCCAAATTCAATGCCCAAACACCCTTCGATATATGGGCAAACACTATTTATCTCTCTCTCTCTCTCTCTCTCTCTCTCTCTCTCTCCTCTCTCTCTTTCCCTCTCTCCTTCTCCCCTGGCACTAAACCCGATTTTGGCGGCCGATGATCGTAGTAATCATGAATCAGCCTCCCCGCGCTCCGTCAATCGGAGCCCCGCGGAATAGGCAGGGGGATTATTTCGTCTCAGCTGATAGCCCACCGACAAAGCCAATCGAGCAGTGGAGGGGTACGGTCGGGGGACAAATAATAGGCAATGGGGGGATGGGTGTGAATCAGGACGATCCGCTGGGGGAGCTACACAGATTACGCACAAATTTGGGTGAATTTCCGGTGAGATAAGCCTAAATATAGGCCGAAGCCTAAGCCGAACCCTAGGCGTAAGTCGAAGCTTAAGTTCAGCCTAAGCCTAAGCCTAAACTTAAGCCGAAGCTTGAGTTTAACCGAAGCCTAGTCCGAAGCCTGAGCCGAAGCCTAAGCCTAAGCCTAAGCCCACTCCTAAGTCAAAGCTTAAGCCTAAGCCTAAGCCTAAGCCTAAGCCGGCTTAAACGCAGGCGCCCTAAGCTTAAACCCAAGCCTAAGCCTAAGCATGTAGACTAATTTGCCCAAAATCGGTATTTTTAGGTAACTAATTTGCATAATCGCCACTACAAACAAACTTCAGGTAAGCAAAACTCCCCAATTTAAATTTTTGAGTAATTTGCATACCAACGATCAAAAAACGATTTTATGTAATTTCGCGATTTTTTGAAACATTATTAATTGCGAAAATATTAATTTGCATCTTCAAAACTAAAAAAACAACACCGGTTGCCGGCGCAATAAAAAATGCATGGACTAATTTGGGCAAAATCGACGAGCTACCGTAGCCAATGTAATAAAAAACGCGTTTTTACTAAATTCTCTACCCTCCGAATTTCCATCCCCATCCCCGAATGGTAATTTCCGCCCCATTCCAATAGACGGCGGTGCTCAAATTGTCGCGCCTTTTGTATGGGGGGGTGATCGTAGCCCCGGGGGGCACATTTGTGGGGCTCCCCGACCATTTGGGGGGAGAATTGCTCAACGAGGTGTCAATATTTGTGCACGGCCATTTAGGGGT